ATGACGTTCCCAGCCAAGCTGGGAAGGCATTTGCCCTGCATTGCTTGCTACCTGCCCCACTCCACCACCAGATAGCAGCACAAATCCACCAAAAAGCGGGCCATCCCTGCACAGCTGGGAAGCTGAGGGCAGAAGTCAGCCCGTACACCTGTTTTATTCTGCCTACCATCTGTTTAAAAAATGGAGCCAGCATTTAAAAAAAATCTGGATTTCTGGTTCCTCTTTAATCAGCTGATGTGAGCAGCGACTGCCCTCTGGGCCTGAGGTCCCCAGCGCATCCCAGTCCTCAGTGTCAGCGGCTCTTTCCCATCCTGCTGTGTAGCTATTTTTTCCGCAGGGGACACATTTCTCACTCGCCACCTGCCTCCTCACCTCCATCCCTCCACTGGGGCTACAGGCCGGTGTTAAAGCATAAGGGCTTTGGGGCAGATTAGGGCTCAGGTCCCAGGCCTGCCATCTATCAGCTGTGTGACCTTGGGCCTGTTCCATGACCCCAGTGCCTCAGGGTCCTTGTGTGCAAATGGGGCTGAATGTACTCACCTCTCAGATTCAATGCATGGAGCTCCGTGCAGTCTGGCGGGTGGTCAGCATGCGTGGATAGGAGCATTTTCCCCTGCCCGGCCCTCACAAGCCCTTGTTTGCAATCCCCCCGGCCCAATCTCACAAATGACCCCAACACAGACACAAGATATAACTGAAGGTTCTGAGGGTGTTTTTCCAGCCCCTGGGATTCAGGAGCAGTGAAGACAAGTCTGCATGTGAGGCCTGGCTCTGTCTTACTGGTTGTGATATCTTGGGCACATCAGTTCATTGGTGGACTCAGGCTGGTTTTTTTGTTTTTGTTGTTGCTGTTGTTTGCTCCGGGCAATTAAGACAGGCTGGTAGGCCTGGAAAATCTCTCCACTGGGGCCTGTGAACTAGAAACCAACCTCTGCAGCCCCAAGGGTGCTTATCTGACCCTTCTGAAGTTTCACTCTCTGCCCCACCCACTGTAGACTTCCTTTGATAACACCTTACTTTTTCTTTTGGGAACAAATCACCTTTCCTCCTCTCATCCTGTGGCTTGTGAAGTGTTGTTTTCACCCCTGCAACCCCAGGTGGCATGTTTCAAACCTGGCCAACCAGAACCATTCACCACCACAAGACCCAGTCTGTCCCACTGAGAGCCTTCCCTGGGCTTTTGCTGCAACCACTGGAAGGGGAAACTTTTCCTGCTGAGATTGCTGAGCTGGTCTGATGTCAAGTCTCAACTCAGAGAAAAACAGGACCAGACTGACCAAGGTCTGGTGAATCATGTGAGCCCCTCAGTCCTGCCAAACCTTAAGTCACAACCACCCCTTCTCCACTTTTCAGTTACAGGAGTTAATCAAATTATTTTAGCTATTTTTACTTGAGCTATTATTTTCTGCCACTTATGAATTGAACTCTGATTCCCCCTCCTTTTGTGGTCCCCTCGGACAGTCACAAATCATCTAGTAGTGGGCAAACTTTAAGGAAAATTCTGTTATGGGTCACATTTTTCAAAAAGCTTTATCTGTGACCACTCTAAAGAGTATTTTATCATCTCTGTTCCCCCTTTTTGGGGGGGGCTAGTATTGCAGAAACTACCTAGCCCAGATTAGATATTGATTGTAATGTCTGTCTGTTCACTACTGAATCTCAGTGCCTAGCACATGGGAGGTGCCTTATAATGTCTTGCTCAATGGATAAATGAACAAGATACTCATTTGTCTAAAATGTCCCTCCTCGGAGAGACCCTCCCTGAGCGCCCTGCCAAAACTGCCCCACCCTGCTTTTCCAATGTGATACATTTTTGATTTTCTTTATAAATCACCATCTGAATGTGCATGTGCATTTATTTATGTTTATTGTCTCTCTCCTGAGGAGGTCAACTCCACCAGGGTTTTGTTCACTGCTGTGTGCCCCGGTGTCCAGGTCAGAGCCCAGCACACACCAGGGGTCAGTAACATTTGCTGAGGGAATTCACTAACAGGGATCCGCCGTCATCGCCTTATCATGATCTCCTGCAGGAAGACCATTCCTCATCCAGCCGTGGGTTCCCTCCGAAAGTGTTTGGAGCAGATGGCAACATTAATTCACTGTGTCAGGTGGCGAAGCTCCCATTTTGAGCCCAAGGGAGGAGGAGGGGAGCTAGGAATGGGATAGGGGTGGGGCCTCACCCTCCAGGATCCTTAACCATCCCCCGCCCACCAGCCAACCCAGAAACACGAGGCAGCCGAGGTTAAGTAGACTCTTGCTGCTTTGTTATAAATATATTATGTACATCCAAAACATGACATTAAAATATTACTCCGTGTTACAGAAAAGATATTAAGGCTTTCTATTATTTACATTAAACAAGCAAGCACCTTTAAAAAAAAAAAAAAACAAACCAAAACAAAAAAGCCCCATTCTTCCTTCTTGGACATCCCTCTAGCCAGAGGGGACTCTGTGTCCCCTTCCAGATGGCCAAGACCCGTTGCAGGGGCTGCACTCTGTGAAGACATCCTCTGATTAGAAATATCAGCTCTGGCTAGAATCCCATGGGCAGATGGGGAGGGGCAGGGGGGGAAAGGGGGTCCAGGCTTGGGCAGGGGAATCCTGCCTCTTCTGGCCGGCTGCCCTCAGACCCTTGCTGCACCTGGCCATCCTTGGGTGAACAGGCTAGGCCAAAGGTGGTGCCTGGGGCTGTCCACCCACCCAGGCTTTCAGGGTCAGTTCGAAGGGCCATGGCAGGACAATGCTCCAGGCACACATAGGTGCGCCTGGGGGCTCGTAGACCACTGGGGGCAAACAAAGAGAGACAGAGAAGACGACTCAGTGGCCCCAACGCCAGCCACGCTGAAGTGCTGCCCAGTGAGGCGGTGGGGGGGGG